TGAAATTTTTATAAAAATTTCAAATTTTTTTCTCAGAATTTATTAAATATAGAAATGGGATTATTTTTCAAAATGTTATTGTATAAAAACTACCGAAGGGATTTTGAGCATTTTCTTTTACTCTTATATTATACTTATTATTTGGAAAAAGTTTTGGTAAGAAAAAAATATTTAATGCAGCAATGGACAGATTTCGGCAGTTTTGGTCGGTTTTTTTTTGATGACTGCTTTTGCGGTTTTTTATATAACAAGTGCAATTTATAAAAACTGGCGTTGGTTTTTGAAATTTCGTCGCTAACGGTCTCCCGCATTTTATTTCATAGAAAATTCATGCTTATATGGAAGAAAGTGCAAATATCCGTCTCAAAAAAAAATTCTCAAAAATCAGCAGGATTTGTTAACCGTTTGAAAATTACTCTTCGTTTGACCAAACTTAAATGTTCTACAAAATTACATACTCAAAAAATTTTAAGAAATTTTGAATAAAAAGTTGAAAATTTTGATAAACAGTTTTTGAATTTTTGTGAACTTTATATGGAAGTGGAAGATCGACCTATCTCGGCAACCAGTTCGAAAACGCCCTATCTCAGAAAATTTTTGAACAACGCTCTATCTCAGAATACTTTTCAAGAACGCCCTACTTCAGAATTTGATTGAAAAACGCCCTATCTCTGAATTTAGTTGAAGAACGCCCTATCTCAGCTGCCGATTCAAAAACGCCCTATCACAGCTTATTTTCAAAGTATTTTCGTTTGAGATAGGGCGTTATTCCACCAAATTCTGAGATAGTGTGTTTTTCAATAAAGTTCTGAAATAGGGCGTTTTTCAAACAAATTCTGAAGTAGGGCATTCTTGAAAAGTTTTCTGAGATGGGGCGTTTTTGAACTGGCTGCCGAGATAGGTCGATCTTCCACTCAGCCATCGATATAGAGTGTATTATAGAATGAACTATATTTCCATAAATAATTAAGGCAAAAAGGGTTTTCATAAAAATAATAATGAATATTATATTACAACAAGGTGTACACTTTCATTTGTCGCCTAGTGTATGTGTTACAAAAAATCCTTTTGAAAACGCTCATTTTTAACCGACTTCAAAAAATGGAGGAGGTTATCAATTGTCGGAATCATAGGCATTTAAACGCCTTCTATCTATACAAAAATAATAATTTTGAAAAGCGTTGCTAACTATATAAAATTTTTAGTCTATATAAATAAAAAAAAGTTGCTTCCGTAAAAGCGAGCGTAGCTCTAGAACGGACCGTCCTATGTGAGGTATCTCTTTTGTTGTGTTCGTGTCGACCCAGTGAAACTTTTTGCGGCGAGAAAATTGGAAAAATTTACCAAAAAATAGAAAATTCCGGAAAATTTTGTTTTCCATACATTTTGTATTGGAAATTCCTGATCTTAAAACGTATTGCGTGTCAAATGGTACATTAGGTCCCATTTATGTACATTTGCTGGATATGGAAAAGATACGATGGAATTTGAATCAAAAATCAAAAATGAGAACATTTGACGCTTACATTTCTTTTGCGGTTACGCGCAATGCATCCAAATTAATTAACAGCTTCGAGTATATATCGTTAGTAGGGACGGCAAAAAAATTAAATAATCGATTAATTAATCAAATTATTAATAACAACCCAAAAAAGGAACAGTCCAGCGCCTTCGTCTTGGCCTGCAGGCTGCATCGGAGATACAGCCGCTAAATTTAAACGTAGAATACGTGGTATGGTTAAGAGCATATCCAAGTCAAAAACTAAAGCGATATCGATAAGATAAGAAAAAAATATCGAAACAAAAGCGATAATAATATCGATAGCAAATTCGATAAAAACATCGATAAAAAATCGATGAAAATATCGATACCAAAATCGATAATTATATTCGATAAAAATATCGATAACAAAGTCGATAAAAATATCGATAACAAAATCGATAAGTAAATCGATTACAAAATCGATAACAAAATCTATCTAAAAATCAATTACAAGATCGATAACAAATCGATTACAAAGTCAATAACAAAACCGATAACAAGGTCGATAAAAACATCATACATACATACATGCATACATGTGTTCATACATATATGTATGTACATATATATTATGTATAGACATATGTACATAATATAATCGACATTAACTGCAATCAACATATGTACGTATGTTTGTATTTACATATGTACATACGCTGCGATTAGGTTGTAAATATTGCGCCTTCTGTTTATTAAAAGTCGAAATATGTACTTACGCATACATACATACTTTTTATCTCCTTCCTCACATCCAACTCATGCACGTGTTTGCAAAACGACGACGAAGTGATTTTGTATGGAAAATCATTTATGCCCATATGTTTGAATCAAATAAACATACTTAGAAGATATCAACCAGTACTTCCCATATACCAAACGAAAGGAAACCTCTTGAATTTTTTAAAGAAACCAAATCATTCGAGCGGTTTTCGAGCATTTTGGTAATAAAAAAAATTTTCTAATTTTTTCAACAATTTTTTGCCTTAAAATGCTCAATATTTGTTGAATTTATATAAAATCTGTACACGATAATATTTCTATTGCTCCAAAGAATCTATATCCCGAAAATGAAAGTTATATCTGCAAATCATAAGCTGCTGAGCATTTTAAAGGCTCAAAGTTGACCCCAAAATAGGGCAATATTTACCGTTGTTTCTAGGACAGACACCGAATCGGTTACTTACAGAAATATATCTGTGGATAGGTTTCGAATTTTATCTTTGAAATGACATACTTTTCTTTGAAATCGCTTCATTAGTTCTCGTGCAATAAGCGTTTTCGTGAAGCTCTAAAAATTACAACTACAACATTTCAGCATAGCCTCCATATAGTAAGGTAAGACGTATTCTACGTCAAAAATTAAGTGCAATTATTGAGAAATAATCGTTTAATTGAATTTTTAAAGGCATTTTTTACAGTGAACAAATTCACAAAAACATGCTTCCATAAAAAATTTATAATTCTCTTGTTAATTAGCCTTAAATAAAATTAGCATTTTGTTGTTAAGCGGTTGCGTTTCCTGGTGGCTGTAGCACCGGCTTTAAAAAAAAGGCGCTCAGCAGGCACCGAGCTACCAACTAAATAACAGTATTTTTTCGAAAGTCTGTAAAGTTTTGGGTAAACAGTTTTCATTTCCTCAAGGTTGACCAAATTGCCTACATTCGGCTTATTTACAACCAACTTCTAGTATTTGACCAACTGGTTCGCCGATAAATCAATGAGTGTGCAAGATCTTTAACGTTGTCACACTTAGTTTTGTAGCATTTACAATGGGCTTATATGCACAACTATTTACGCCATTGTATGTTCTGAACTTGAACAATTCTTGCGGCTGTTTGAAATTTTAGACAGCTGCAGAATTCGTATTACTTCAAAATATTTTTACGATTATTCTACCATTAATCGATTAATAATCGATTATTGGAACACAAAACTACGATACAATTCAATCGTAAATTGTATAAAGATAATCGATTAATTTAATCAAACGATTAATCGCTGCCATCCCTAACCGTTAGTATAGTATGGAAAGGGCGTAACTCACATCGTCGCTGAAATACAAAACGCCGTAACTAACTAAAAATCCAAAAATAATTTTTTGATTTATAATGATGCATTTCATCGTTTTATACAATAAAAAAAGTGTAGTTAGTTATGGCTTTTTTGCATTTCAGCGACGATGTGAGTTAAGCCCTTTCCATACTATACTAACGGTATGTATGTGTATTTGATTTCTGTGCGCCAACGATTTTCTTATTTTTGAACTTGCCACCAACTATGTTGTACAGATTCATGGATAGCTTCACCATTGAACAGAATGAGGAGGAAAAAGTTCTTCAAATTTATTCGTTGGCAACTCTATTTAAGACGGCAATGGAAGATATGCCTTCTAACGTCCACAAAACATAAACAGAGCATAGAGTTGTTGATGAAAATGTTGAACCAAAATGTTTATATAAAAAAAAAAAAGTCATAAATTTTCTGCGGGTCAGCTAGTATTTATTAATTTTTTTCCACAGAAAAATTGACATTGAATCGCACAACCGCTGAAAATACATATGTCTGTTCATTCCAACAATCCTAACTTCGTGAAAAAATTTAATTATACTCAAAAAAGTTGCCAAAAATTTAAATTTTTTATGTGTGTGAGCATTTTTTTTTTTTTGAAAAATACCATACCTCAAGCATCTATTTCCGTTTCTACATATCCGCCCCACTGTTTGCAGCCACGCTTTTATACAACAACAAAATATTTGTTTGTACATATGTATTATTTATATAATTAAAAATGCAAAAATTCTCATATGAAGTCATGAACGTCGGTGTACAAAAAAAAAAGAAAAACCACATCGCTGGCTTTCATGAAGTTTTTTTTTTTAATTATACACGATTATAATATATGGTGGGGTACGTACTGCTGAAGGCGTTGGTAACCTTGTGCGGCAGATGAACAAGTGCAAGTTATTATATGAAAAACATGCTTTTGTCTTTTGTCATTAAGTATTATTTTCGCCATTGTTTAAGAGCTGAACTTTTACTGAAACTGATGCTCATATTACAAAGACTGTGGTGCCACTAAGCGCTATGGAGTGTTGGGGATATGACCAAGTGTTTGAGCGAAGATGGTCGCAGTGGAACTTATTTGAAGATTTCTATTTAGCATTTGCGCTTTTATTAAGTACATAAATAACTTTAATTATATACATACATATGTAAATAGACATATGCATCTGTATATGTACATACCTCTGTTTTAAACTCGCCTAAGGTGACTCGCTTCACAAACAGTCATTCTCCATGCTAGAGCATTGCCTCACACTTATCAATGATTCATAAGTTAAGACATTATTAACTAATTGTTTTACTTGAAATCAATATTGCTGCCAAACAGCATCACTTAATATACAAACAATTACTTACGTATCTATGTATGTATGCATTTTTTTCTCACTTTCAGAAATTGGAACAAGAAAAACATGTTTTACGTCAAAAGCTCGCCATTGCCGAAGAGGAGAGCGATCAACGTGTTCTCGAATTACAATCTGATCTCAATGAACTCAAAGATAAATTACAGGCACAAGAGAATGCAATACGTCAAGCGGAAAAGGAGAAGACTATACTAATCGATGAGTTGACACATCAGAACACGCGCCTCACTGAACAGATACAGGAAGCGCGCGCCACCGAACTGAAATTAATGTCGCAGATACAGGAATTAAAGGATCAGTACAATTATAGGAACACCAGTTTGCAGGTGAGAAACAGATTAAAGTAATTAATACGATTGTTAGAAGAGCTTTGGGTATTAAAAAAGGACATATTAAATATTTGAATGCATTCTCATAATAAATTATGCGTATCCTCGAAACATTGCCTTTATTTACCTTCGATATCCTAAAGTTTTTTGTTTCGTTGGCTCAATCACTGTCGGTTTTGTCCGGCTGAAACTTCAGCTTACGTATTATAAGCTTTGAACCCTTGAAGTACCTAGCAGTATATGCCGTTATATTCAGCGACATCCGGACCACCATTAGAACACAAGGCTCACTCAGGCTCAACCCCAAATTACGCTATAGTATAGGTTATCCAACTATTTGGCAGATGCCTTCCGGAACTCAAATCCCAGAGCAAAAACATTGCTTTACAGGTAAATTTTGAGGGCGTGGTACGATCAATGTAAGATTCGTGTCGCTTGAAAACGTTTGGTAAAAAATTTCGGAAACTTAACCGAAAAAAATTACGAAATGTGAACTTTCTAAAGAGAAAAATTGTATGTATCTGTTTTCATTAGTATTTTTATCAGATATAATCTGAAGACTAGGTGTGAACTTTCCAATAAAATCCTTCCAAAGCATCAAGAACCGTCATTTATCCTGTAAAGGAACAACACAATCAATTTAATCAACAGTATCGCATTGTATCCCATTGTTTCAAAAGCTGTTCGCTTCTGACTTCAAAGCCTTTCACAAATTTTAAGGGCCGGCGGAGACTTTATTTTAAAAAGCTTCGGTTCCAAGTTGCTAAATATCACTGGATTCATTAAGACTTTGGGATCTTTCAAATTTAAATCGTACTACTGAGAGACAATCGCTTTAGAAAACATTTATTCTCTCATAGGAATGGTTTCGTGGACCTTGCATTGAATCTGGCTCTTTGCGAGTGGTTTTGAGGACCTGTAATCAAGCGGCTACGGAGATCAGGTAAAAATCTAACAATGTTTCCAACCCATAAGAGAGTTAGCCAAATATATGTAGCTCTCTCTCTGATATTTATTGGCAAAAAACTCTTTAAACTTGCAAGTGTAGAGTTTCGTATACACCTGGACGAGCCTTTTTCTGACAGAAATGTCGAGCTCATCGAGTTGTCAAAAGCGAATTTTCTACTTCTCACTAACCGGACTATGATCTCCGTTTTCAAAATATGCGCAATGAGTTATGTGAAATCTTTGTGGCTGGAGATGCGGTAGAGGTCACTCGTCGATTCCTGTTTGATTATTAAATTGATTTTTTAGAAGGCTCGGATATTTAACCCAAATTTAACAATTGAGAGTATCCATTTAGGGGTTCTTTAATACATTATATAGGGTCAGAAAAAATCAGCACGAATATGGATATATTTATGATAAAAGCCTATAATAAAGGAGCAGTTTCTCGCAGAAATATGGAAAAATATTTGTTTCTATAATGAAAAGCATGGCTATTGAAGCATGCGCATTGCTTTCTTTCAAAATGAAAAAAATTCTTTCAAACTTTAATTGTTGTTGATTCCCCCCCCCCCCCCTTGACGGGCCTGCCGTAGTGTTCTGGAACAAACTGCCATCATCGTGACAACGAAAAATTACACTTAAAATGGTCCATGCCGAAAAAAGTTTGTCTCCAAAAAAAGTTTAAAAGGAATGACGAAAATTCATCAAATACATCATATTCCTACCCTGTGTGAAGCATCCAAAAACAAAAAAAAACTTTACGCTCAGTATTGAGGGAACGGCTGCTAACATTTGCCAGAAGGACCGCACTGATGAAACTGGGCCATTTAGTGTGGTCTGGGAATCAAAAGTTACTTAAGAAAAATAACCAGTCAACTATACAAATTCACTCATTCTTATTATGCTACCTTCAGAAGTTTTTGATTAAGGTAACCTCTTATATTAACGACATGTTTTGCATCTGAAACCTTTCGGAAAACTCTTCTCAACTAATTTTGAAGACTTCACACCTTTCTCACTCGAGATTTAGCATCAAAATGAATAAAAGTTCCAAAGACTTTAATCAATTTTCTTCCCTTACTTTTCAGGAACACGTCCACAGTCTGGAATCCATCAAAACCGAGTTGAACCTCACAACAGAAAAACGCCATGATTTGGAGAAACGTTTGCAGCAGGCACAGGATGAAAAAGAGTCGCTAACGTCGGCACTTGAAGAGGCTTCTGATAGAATACACATGCTAGAGAGACACGCACGAGAGCAGGAAACAAAATTAGAGGTAATTTTTGATAACTGTTATCGATTTTTAACGACACAAGTACTAAGTATTCAGACGCTTTAGATATATGTATGTATAATCTTTTGTTTTCACATTTCATTTTATAGACTACACTGCAAGCACTTGAGAGATCTCAGCGTGAGAATAATGTGCTTAGCGAGCGTATAGGAGCGGTAAGTCTCATGCAAATGCCCTAAAAATTACGCTTTTGTAAACCTCTTGAATCACTACAGGATTCCAACTCTAGTTCACATAGCAAAAAATCTTTGCAATTCGAAATGGAGTGCGATGAAGATGACTCAAGTTTTTCGGATGGTAAGCCCAGTCAAATATGCATTGAAGCGCGTTCGGTGTACATACAGCTGAAATCACTGGTGGATTCGTTGAAAATTGGGCATGATGATGACTCAGGTAGGCGGAAAAAGAATATGTTTTAAATATATTGTCTAAGATATTTGTACCAAACCAAAAAGTATAAAACTGTTCTCCCTCTCTCTCTTTTATAGGTCTAAATTCAGACATATCCCTGGACTTGGAATCCATGGATAATACGATTTCGTCGTCAAGTCGCACCGAAGGCGGCAGTCATACTGAGGCTATAGAATTTCGTCCTGGCATGCTATCGGCTATGTCCGATGAGCTTACACGTCTACTGCTAAATCTCGATGCAGGCAACTTCAGGAAAATGCTCGATCAGACGCGCAATCTTGTACTGGAGCAAGAGGATGAGATCAAGCGTAGCCATCAATTGATACAGCAGTTGGAGGCGAAGGTAAAACAGAGAATTGAAAGTGGCATTTCTAAAATATTAATGACCTATTTTCTGTTCAACTAGCTCACCGTCACCGACGTGGAGTTACATAATGTCAAAGAAGAGCGCGATCAGGCGCGTGGCGATCTAATGGACAACAGCGATCGCGACGAATTGTTGACCAAAGCACAAACAGAACGTGATGCAGCGAATGAGCGACGCACAAAAGCTGAAATTGATTTGGCTAAGACGCGTATTGACTTAATGCAAGCCAATAGCCAGCTGCTCGAGTCTATACAACAAAAGGTGGAGTTGTCGCAACAGCTGGAACAGTGGCAGGTTAGTCAGATGGATATTTCTTAAATACAAATCGGAGAATTAGAAAGTAGTTTCGTTAAAAAGGTACAAGTGCGGGGTTAATAGCTAGAACTTTAAAGACATTTTACGGCCTCTGAGCAAGTTGAAAAGGACTAAGAAGTAGAATTTGTTCAGCTCTTAAACCCAAATGACCCCATTTCGGTATTTCGGAAGGTTGTTTGAAAATTTGAAAATTTGAACATTTTACGCAAGGACACAACGAAACCTAGGGCAGGGTGCACTGAAAGTAGATTTTGTTTTCATTAGGATGCAAATTTTATGAGAAGTTGTTTTTTCATGACAGAATACACGTGGAGGTTTGCCATTGCTTGCCGAAGGGCGACCGCTATTAGAAAACACTTATTTTGTTTTATTTTATTTTTTTGATGTGGTCGGACACTGGGCTCGAACCAGGTCTGCGAAATGGTAGCGCGCACGCTAACTAATACACCACAGCGGCCGCCATTATTTTGTGGTCTTAAAAATCAGACTAGAAGGCCGTCTAAAATAAAAGTGCAGTCTTTCATTGCATAGTTTCCCCAACGACTGAAACTCTATTACAGTTTCTGCAACTCTAAATACTTTGCCCTTGTCTCCATTTAGGAAGGGCAAATATCTGCAAAACTTTCTTCTTAGTTCTTAGCATATTCACAATAATGAGCCCGATACTCATCATTTTCTACTCTTCGGGTCCGTAAAACGCATTTGACTTCTCCCCTTAATTAGTTTGTGTACTGGCAGACTTGTCTCGGTCAATTTCTCTGCTCTCTCGTTTCCTTGCATTTCGATGACAAACAACTTAGTTAAAGGGCGTGACTACCGACTGAGCCCTTTATCAGATATCACTGTTGGAAAAATTACAAGTTTTTAAAAAAACACTGGAACACGTAAACTTAATATTGGGTCGTAAATTATGGATCTGTATACCATTCTTTCAGATCAGGTACAACAACAATAACATCAGGTAATTTTCCCAAGATATTTTCTTTTTTATTAAAAAAATCCAAATTTTAACAAGAAAAAATCTTAAAGAATAATGCCGAATTTCCACTAGGCATTGAAATGACAAAAAATGTATGCCATTTAAAAAAATGCCAAGTGAAAATGAACTTAATGACTATTTTTTTAATGTAATGGCTAGATTATTTTTTAGGGCCCGACTTTGTGGTGTGGTATAGGCCTTTTCGGAGCGATCAATTCGGTGTTCAAAATTCGAGCTTGTGACTAGTTGCATTGTACTCGTCGGCAATATTCTGATCCGTCGACGCATTTGGGGTTGAATTTCACATTCAGTTTTGTACTGAGCCAAAAATTTTTCGCTAACCGAATTAAAAATAAGATAAAAACGATTCGCCACAGAAACGTCCTATAATGTGACGAATCGACCATTACTACCACAGGTGAACATTTATCCTTGAGGCTCCGCTAAAATGCATTCGAATTGTCGCCTGACTGCAAACCATCCAATGAGCGAGGAAACACGTAACTTCCCAAATTAGATGGAGAGAGTAGATTCGACACATCCTCCTTATCTATATTCATAGTGTTTGATGGAAAAGAGATCACCGCATGTAGGATTGCCAATTCGCACCACGGTTTTACTGTTTAGGCAATACAAAGTATGCTCTTCAAGTTTTTATATGGAAGAAAAAGCATAGCACTTCAACGAAAAAAAACTGCAAAAAATCAGCGGGATCTTTTAGGAACTTCAAACTGGCACTATATTATACAAATTTTTCTAAAAATTCTGAATAACTAGGAAAATTTATGAATTTTCATAATTTTTGTACAAAGTTTAAAATTGAGAATTGTGTGGTTTCTACTAGATAGTGGTGTATTGACAAAAATTTTTTTTTTCAATTTTTTGGCCTAAAAAGAAATCATGTTCAAACATTTTTTTGAGCTTGGGGCACTTTTAATTGATAAATTATTATGGAAAATAAAAACAGTTTACAAATGGTAGAAGTTATAGCCGCTATTTCGGAGATCACCTCATCAGACTTCTTCATCGAGTTCACTGGAATTCGAACCAGCGATTTCGGCTGGGCTGATCTCCGAAATGGCATCTATAACTTTTACCATTTGTAATTTTTTTCTTTTTTTTCATAACAATTTTTCAGTAAATACGGCCTCAAACTCGACAATTTTTTAAATATAATTCATTTTTGTGTTTTTCAACTTTGATTATTATTTTTTTGTAATTACAGTTTATTTTTTAACAAACACGTTGTGCTATATATAAAAAAAAAAACATTCAACAAACTTTCGTAAAAATTTCGAGCTTTATAATTAGATTTTGAGTATACAGTTTTGTAGTTCGAAACTTGTCAATATGTGGTGTGCTTATAACTATGACACTAGACGTATTCCTATCTTTTTTTTTAGATTTTGTTTAAAAAACTAACACGTTTTGGAAATGTATTATTCACTAACACAAATTCCAACCCTACTTTTTTTCTGTTCGTCATAGATGGATATGCAAGAGCTTCTGCAGGAACAAATGCGCTCGAAGCTAATCAACAATCGCAAATCGGCATCGCCAATACCTGCCAGTGCGAATACAAGCGCAGCCTCAGCGCTGGCAAAACGCGTATCCAGCTACAAGTTCTGGAGCTTATTTCAACGGTAAATTGAGCGTAGTCTAGAAAATCTACGCTACTAAATATAATTATACTTATGTAAAAGTTTTAGTTTTATGTATAAATTCTTATATGTAAAAGCAAAATATTCTTTTCTTATGATTACTTTTTAATATTTATATACAAGTAGTAAAATAGCAAGAATTTATACAACTACAAGCATATGTTGTAACGGTATAAAAACAAAACCTTATGCATTTTTATACTTATTAACACAGAATAAAAAATAAAAAAAATTAAAAAATAAATATATGTACGATTATTTATAAATATACTTCATCTTATGCTACTTGTTGATTTTTGTGGTCAAAAAAACTGTTGGAGACGTGACCTTCTAAGGTTTATGTGTCTCGCATACGCTTTATTACCTTTAATTGACAAAAAAAAGAAGAGAAAAAGAGCAGCAAAAAGACACTAATCGTGCACTATTTAATAAAAGAAAACCCCATACACTTTAATTATAGTTTTAAGTTGCAAAATTACAAAAGAAATTTACATTTAAAATTGTCAATAAAATAGTAGCACTTTAGTCAGCCGCATTCCCAAATCCCAAAATGACGTATGTAGATATCCAATGAAAGAGTGCAACTCAAGCGCCCAAAGAACACATATCGCTTTGAACCCAGAGAGCAATTTTGCAGTAATAGTAAGGACACCTTTTAAATATTATGAATACATTTTTATTTTCAAACAATTTATTTAATAATACACTAACACACACAAAAATAAATAATAAACAAAAATGCATAATTATAAAAAATACTGCAATTTAACAATGTATGTATTAGTAAAAATTTAAACACTTGAAATCTAATTTTAATATGTATTTATATCATATAAACACAGATACATGCTTATCTGTGTTAGTATGTACCTACTACATAAATTAATTGTAAGTCTCTTAAGTGCATTATACATATAATCGCCATTTACGTTCGCTTAACGTGATTGGTGATGTGATTGGTTAAATGTTTGATTGATTGATTGATTGATTGTTTGTAGTTGATGGCAGAACTGGCGGACATTTTTTTCTTTTAACCAGTAAAAACAACAACAACAAAAAGACATTTCACAAAATGGAAATGTAAAAATTACTGTACAACGGGAAAGTTAAGCTTTAATTTCACATACTTGCCTTAACGCTGACAATGAATCAAAATTTTAAAGTCAAAGCTGAAATCTTGTTTAAAA